ACTGACGCTTTTGGGTTTTAGAGACCTCAAAGTCCATAAGAGGGAGGGGGTGGAAATCCCTCCCCATTGAGAAACCATTGCCAAAAAGGCCAAGTCACGGCTCTCTGGGGCAAGGCGGGTAGACTTGAATGTCCTGAGAACATAACATACACCCTTAAAGTGGCCTTTGCCAACTTTAAGATAATTGACCCCATATTTAAAGTCCCACAGAGTTATCATCTACCCCCACCCCCCTTTCTTCTTCTTCACTTGTATCACAGAAGCAATTACCTCCAAAATTCATCTCTTGGGCTTTTTGGCCCGTTGGTCTTTGAGTAAGGACAGGGGTTTGTGGTGCAACGGCTAGGCTCTTCGCTTTACTTGCAAAAGACGTGAGTTCAATTCCCGTTTGGCGAATACAGGTCATGCAGTATCTCTTTGCTGGGATGCACAATCCAACTCATGCCAGGTTGGTTCCGATAGGCGGGGTTGGACCCGCCTGCCTCATAAACGATCTGATTCTTAGCTACAGTCACCTAAAACATTATAGTCACAGTTATAAATACGAGAAACATGTTTGTCTTGCATGCCAAATCACCAAAGCCCCTGGTTTGATGCCTTGTTTAGATACCCTTGTCGAGATGATAACTTTTTAGTTCTGTTGCAAAGCTTTTTGCACTCACCTTATCATAGTATAGGTTGAATTGAATGCCTAATTATGTCTTCTCGGAATAGATCTTAAAACTCTGAGCTCCTGTACGTGAGCAGTTGAAAGGTGAAGCATGACAGTCTTTCTCGGACCTATTGCCACTGCAAGTTCATCACTATTATTCATTACCATAACAGGAAAATTTAGGTATGAATAAATGAATAAGACAACTATCGAAAATGGTAAACAGTTATTAGAAGGCTACAAAACAGGCCATTTACCTTCTTTTTTTTTAATCGCTGAAATTTAGGTTGAGTGGGTTGAATAACCTGCAGTCTACTACCTCAAGATCGATATGGGAAGCGCGGAACAATTAAATGGTATTGATTAAATTCTTATTCAAATTTCCCGACTCCCAGTGTCGGCGTAATATTGTTATATTATCCCCTGCCTAATGGAAACGTTGTCGTTTTGCAAGAAAAATAAATCAAATTACTTATCACATGCATGCTGAGCTCATTTCACTTTCAAGCATAATCTTTCTATCTCAAAAGGGAGGATCGCAGTGGAATTTTAATAGCAAAACTAACACAAGTATTCTAAAAAAGCGTTTTTATTGATTAATATTTCAAAGCTTGAAAAGTATAGAAAGGCAAACACTTCAAAGTACTCTTACTTATGTAATAATAATTTAGTCTAAGTGGGCTAAAATGATGAGGATGACAACATGATATCTCGCTTCCGCAACAGATCCGTTTCCCCTTCTCAAAAATGCGTATTGTATTGTGTGTGCATAATTTTGCATTTTCCGTATGACCCAGTCGTTCTCTGTCTGTGTGTCTGTCTGTCTGTCTGTCTGTCTGCCTGTCTGTTTGTCTGTTTGTCTGTCTGCCTGTCTGTTTGTCTGTCTGTCTCTCTCTCTATATCTCTGTCTCTCTGTCTCTCTCTCTCTCTTCTCTTCTCTCCCTCCCTCTTTCTCACTCTCTCTTTCTCTCCCTCTGTCTGTCTCTGACTCTCTCTCCCTCTTTTTTTATCTCTCTCTCTCTCTCTCTCTCTCT